TTTTTTCTTAATTTTGTAAAGATCTTACTGATAACCATTTTTCCCAAATAGATACATATTAATTTAGGTATAGTTCTTAAACAAAAGGAGGAAAAATGATTAACATACAATTTTTTATATAATTTTACATATTATTTAATAATTAAATTTCTTTTCATATTATTAGAATTCATAGTATGATATGGTTTCACTCATATAATAACATAGAAAAATTATAAATGATATATTGTCACTACCCTACAAAGAGTTAAAAATAAGTTGAGATGCAACACATCTAACATATCTTGCATACTTATATATTTAACAAAATATAACATAATATTAAATAAATAAATATAGATAATATTACGTGTAACTCTCAAATAAAAAAAATTATTCATATATACTAAATTAATATTAGATCATACTATGTTTAGTGATATTGTATATAAACATTGTGCATTTAGCGCATGTTCAAAAAAAAAAAAAAACATTGTGCATTTAGCTTTCAAAAAATTAAAATATAACATTATATTGTACTGGATATTGTAATTAAAATATTGTACATATAGTCATATACAACATTTTCACTTTTATAAAGAAGTATTGTTGAGATTATTATCATTTTCATTATATTTGGTAGGATTTTTTTTCTATTTACCATAAAATTTGGTAAGAAGTTACTATTACACTTCTTTAAAAAAAAAAAAAAAAACTTCTGAATTTCAATAGAAAAAATTAGGGAAAGAGTTTTTACCTTCCGTAAAAAGCAGGTGGAACAAACCCTTAATTAGGGAATTGTGTGAAAGGAAAAACAAAGTAAGAAGTTCAATTATCCCCCACAAGCGGGTGGATGAGTTGGTAGGGAACTCTTTCAACTTAATCAAAGGTTTTTGTTTCAAATTCTGAAAATGTAATTTTATTAAAACTCGTGAGGGAGAGTTTTATCACTCATTGAGGAGAGTTTTATCACTCGTTGAGTCATACCCGGCTCGAATTTGGATTAATCAAAGGTCCAGTGAACTTCCAGATACTGGATGGTTCAAACCAAAAAGAAAAAAGAATGTCAATTATCAACTCAAATTAAAAAAGTAGGCATAAAAATACTCAAAGTTACTTTATTATAGTAAATCTTGGTTAAAAAAGACTCAAGCATTGTTTGGTATGAGAAAAAGAAAGGGAGAGGAGGGAAGGATTAATATAATATTTAAAATGACAATATTATACTTACAATGCTACATAAAAGTATAATCATAACGTGGTATTAAATATTAAATGAGAATGATTTTATATTAAATGAATGAATACATATAATACAAATAGCTCATGAATAAAAAGAGCCAATTAACGGCACAATATATTTGAAGCTTATAATATCAAGTGATATTATAATTATAGTAGTTTCATATTTAGAAACATTATAATATGATCAGTTGAAAGACCCATCTCTTGCCTCCTCTCTCATGTATGTCCCTTAAATAAAATATACTACAAAAATAACATATTTTAAGATAGTCAGGGAATGTAAGAAACAGCTAAGTTTGTAAAGTAACAAAACTTGCAATAGGCATGAGTTTCCCTTACATTGAATCAATGTAATAAAACCTTTTTGCCCTTCAAAAAAAGAAACTATATATATATATTTTTTATCAGCAAAGCAACATACGATATGTATTAGAGAAGGAGCATAAGAAATACTCCCAAAACAGAGAACAGTCCGGTGGAATCAAGATACATAACACAAATTACCTACTACATTCAAGAAACACAAAAGCTCAGGACAGCCATCAGGAAGAAGTCTGCAGGAGAAGGAATTAACACTAAGTCGTTTCCAGCAACTTATAACGGCCTGCACACCCAAAACATCACCATGTCCTTCAGAACCAATACAACAGACTAAAAGAGCAGATTGTGAACCTCCCCCCCGTTAGCTAGGGGCCACTACTGCCTTTGAGAATTGCTTCCTCATCCTTTTATGCCGTTCGACAGCCTTTGCACATTCCATCAGAAACTATATTTTTAACATAATAGTGAATGTTATTTTAATATATTTTTTCATAGTAGCAATATAATTTTGAGATTTTTTTTGCCGATCAAAAAAAAAATTTTTTTGAGATATTTTTTGCACAATTTTTAACATTTTCGAATAATAAACACAAATCTTCTATACTAAAATGCTCTACAACTTTCTTAGAATCTTTCTAGTGGTTGTTTGGTTGGTAGTATTGAGCGAGAAATCCCATGTAAAAAATATAATAAAGATATATATGTGACTTAAATATAAGGAAAATTACTCTACATATAACTAATTAGTTTTAGGTTGAATACAATTTTGGCATTGAAGTTCACATGTCCAATTTTTATATGATATTAAAGTTTAAATTCTGTAAACAGACATGTTAGGTGGGAAAATCTCATATCAAAGGTATAATAAAAAACATGTGACTTAAATACAATGAGACCCATTCTATCTATTATTAATTGATTTTAGGTTAGATACAAATTTTATGTTGAAATTCACATGCCCAATTTTTACAAATAATAGTGGCAATTCTTTAATCAAACTATAAAAATAAGTTAAGATTGAGAAATTTTCATATAAAACCAAGAATATTTTAATATCTAATTTTTCTTTTACATTAATTAATAATTAAGAAATATTGATCCCTTAAAATTAAAAGAAATACATATTTCTCATTCATTCTTAATTAGTATAAAATTATTAATATTAGATTTAATTATTCTTAATTTTAAGAAAGTTTTTTAGATTTACTTTATTTTTATAATTTAACCAAAAGTTATTGCTACTAACTAAACATAACCAAAATGGTTGGCGAAATGGGAAAAGGGGGCATGGCAGGTTGAAACGGAGACAGAAAAAAGGGTTTGAAGGGTGAAATTCAAGGGAATAGCATAATTTTTTTTCTTTGAGTTTCACTGCAGTATTATTGATTGATAGTTCCTTGGTCCACTGACCAAAATGCCCCTCTTTTTGTCCTTTATCTTCTTTTATAAAGATCAATTAACTTAAATAAAAAGAAATTACTCTTGATTCACAATAATAATTATTATATTAAGAATTTGAGAACATAATTTATATTTTTATTTAAAATACTAATTAAAATGCTCTCTGATTTAATATACTACACAATATACTTATTAAAATATTATTATTTTTTGATCTAAATTAAAGGCAAATAAACTTTAAAGTAAAGTTATGCATATAGAAAGCATGAATTGATTCAATTGGTTGTATTTATATTTTATTTTAATAGTTGAAATGGGCGAATGTGAAAAAGTGTATCAAATCGAAATATATATCAGTCCTTTTCCTTTTATTCTTAATACTTTGTTAGGGCATATTTCTGTCAATTGTTGGTCAAAGGGTGACATGGCCAACTATGACGGAAAACACAAGGAGATTTTGTTGAAGAATTGGGTTCATTGGTTGGTGCAACTCAAAAAAACAAGATTCTAATTGTTAGAACCTTTTCCTCAAGCTTTCAACAATGCAAGGGTGGTGGATTGATGACATTATCTTTCCAAAACATGACAATGGCAAGAATTTGTCCAAAACTTCGTTCCCCCAAACTGGCAAATTTTGTAATTCCAACATAATGCTGGAAACCACCTTTTTAGGTGGAATATGTAGAAGTTGTCAAAAAGAGATATAACAAATGGAAGAAAAATAGATATTCATCTTACTCCATGCATGGTAATGCATATGTGTTTCATTGATGTATCAAATTTTCATATACATCAACAGAAAGGAAAGAATTAGAAAAAGATGGGTTAGAGAAGGAATGACAGATCTAAAAAGGTTGCTTTCATGGTGCAAGCTTTATCTCTGTTAGTAGGTTAACCACCATGGAAGCTTACTCTATGAAGAAGAAGATGATGAAGATTTCCTCATTTGGAAGCAATAGTTGAACTTGTGCTAAGAAAACTTACAAGAGAAGGAGAATCACAGGTTATAGACCATTATCTTGTAGCTTTTGATGAGATCTACAACTTTGATGGAATATTTTGTGTATTTGGTGAGTGTTTGTGAATCAAAATGAGGGAAAGTGAATGGCTTTTAAGAAAGAAGGCTACTAAAAAGAGAGAAATAAATTTTGCAACCCTCAAAACCTTAAAATTTATTGAAAAAGTGGTGAAAAGGTTACAAAGATTGTGAAAAAAAGAAAGAAGATGGTATTTATAGTACTAGGATTGATTTTGTAATTTTATGAAGTAAATTTACCTAAAACCATTGGCTGGGCATCTCAAGTTAGATGAGGACACATGTTCGTCATCTGTTAACCCTGACACACCTTTCTCTTACCTATTGGACAATAAGGTATTTTGGCTAAAAATTTGAAGTTATCAGAGCAGCACAATATTTTGCCCTATTTGGCTATGAATCCATAGTTTTTTACAATGGTTTTATTGGGTAGGTCAAACTACCTTGAACAATGGGTTACTCCCTTATTTTCTCCTAGATTTGGGTTTCACAAGAAGAATAAAAACAATGAGCTTTTACCCTTTGACAAGCATTCTACACCTTTTAGTGAGCCTTTCTCCTTTGTTCGTCTGAAAAGG